GTAACCCTACAACATCCTCAACTGTAGCACCAACATTATCAACTGATGCAGCAACTACAACTATGTATGACACCACAACAACTGTCGGTACAACAACAACAACAACAACAACTTTGGAATCCACAAGTAACCCTCCAATATCCTCAACTGTAGCACCAACGTCGATAACTGATGCAGGAACCACATCTATGTCTGACACAACAACAACTGTTGGTGCAACAACAACAACATTGGCTACAACAAGCAGCCCTCAAGCATTTTTAACTTTATCGCCAACTTTGACAACTGATGCCGAAACCACGTCTATTTCTGACACCACAACAACTGTTGGTGCAAAAATAACAAAACCTTTTGCATCCACAAATACCCTTCCAATATCCTCAACTGTAGCACCAACGTCGACAACTGATGATGTAACAACAACTGTGTCGGACACAACAACAACTGTTGGTGCAAAAACAACAACAACTTTGGCATCCACAAGTACCCTTCCAATATCCTCAACTGTAGCACCAACATCATCAACTGATGCAGCAACTACAACTATGCATGACACCACAACAACTGTCGGTACAACAACAACTTTGGAATCCACAAGTAACCCTCAAACATCCTCAACTGTAGCACCAACGTTGACAACTGATGCAGGAACAACAACTATGTCTGACACAACAACAACTGTTGGTGCAAGAACAACAACATTGGCTACAACAAGCAGCCCTCAAACATCTTCAGCTTTATCACCAACTTTGACAACTGATGCAGAAACCACGTCTATGTCTGACACAACAACAACTGTTGGTGCAACAACAACAACAACTTTGGCATCCACAAGTAACCCTACAACATCCTCAACTGTAGCACCAACGTCGACAACTGATGCAGTAACCAGGTCTATGTCTGACACAACAACAACTGTTGGTGCAACAACAACAACAACATTGGCTACGACAAGCACCCCTCAAACATATTTGACTGTAGCATCAATGTCGACAACTGATGCAGGAACCACAACCAAGTCTGATACAACAGCAACTGTTGGTGCAACAACAACAACTTTAGAAACCACAAGTACCCTTCCAACATCCTCAACTGTAGCACCAACATCATCAACTGATGCAGGAACAACAACTATGTCTGACACAAAAAAAACTGTTGGTGCAACAACAACAACAACTTTGGCATCCACAAGTAACCCTCCAACATCCTCAACTGTAGCACCAACGTCGACAACTGATGCAGGAACCACATCTATGTCTGACACCACAACAACTGTTGGTGCAACAATAACAACAACTTTGGCATCCACAAGTACCCTTCCAACATCCTCAACTGTAGCACCAAAATCATCAACTGATGCAGCAACTACAACTATGTATGACACCACAACAACTGTGGGTACAACAACAACAACAAATTTGGAATCCACAAGTAACCCTCTAACATCCTCAACTGTAGCACCAACAACGACAACTGATGCAGGAACAACAACTATGTCTGACACAACAACAACTGTTGGTGCAACAACAACAACATTGGCTGCAACAAGCAGCCCTCCAACATCTTCAACTTTATCAACAAATTTGACAACTGATGCAGGAACCACGTCTATTTCTGACACCACAACAACTGTTGGTGAAACAACAACAACAACTTTGGCATCCACAAGTAACCCTCCAACATCCTCAACTGTAGCACCAACGTCGACAACTGATGCAGGAGCCACATCTATGTCTGACACCAAAACAACTGTTGGTGCAACAGTAACAAAACCTTTCGCATCCACAAGTACCCTTCCAACAACCTCAACTGTAGCACCAACATCATCAACTGATGCAGCAACTACAACTATGTATGACACCACAAAAACTATCGGTACAACAACAACAACTTTGGAATCCACAAGTAACCCTCAAACATCCTCAACTGTAGCACCAACGTTGACAACTGATGCAGGAACAAAAACTATGTATGACACCAAAACAACTGTTGGTGCAACAATAACTTTGGCATCCACAAGTAACCCTCCGACATCCTCAACTATGGCACCGACGTCAACTGATGCAGGAACAACAACTATGTCTGATACAACAACAACTGTTGGTGCAACAACTTCAACATTGGCTACAACAAGCAGCCCTCAAACATCTTCAACTTTATCACCAACTTTAACAACTGATGCAGAAACCACGTCTATGTCTGACACCACAACAACTGTTGGTGCAACAATAACAACAACTTTGGCATCCACAAGTAACCCTCCAACATCCTCAACTGTAGCACCAACGTCGACAACTGATGCAGTAACCACGTCTATGTCTGACACAACAACAACTGTTGGTGCAACAACAACAACAACTTTGGCATCCACAAGTAACCCTACAACATCGTCAACTGTAGCACCAACATCGACAACAGATGCAGGAACTACGTCTATGTCTGACACAACAACAACTGTTGGTGCAACAACAACAACAACAACTTTGGCATCCACAAGTAACCCTCCAACATCCTCAAATGTAGAACCAACGTCGACAACTGATGCAGGAACCACAACTATGTCTGACACCAGAACAACTGTTGGTGAAACAACAACAACATTGGCTACGACACGCACCCCTCAAACATCTTTGATTGTAGCACCAACATCATCAACTGATAAAGCAACTATGTATGACACCACAACAACTGTTGGTGCAACAACATCAACAACTTTGGCATCCACAAGTAACCCTCCAACATCCTCAATTGTAGCACCAATGTCGATAACTGATGCAGCAACAACAACTATGTCTGACACAACAACAACTGTTGGTTCAACAACAACAACAATTTTGGCTACCACAAGCAACCCTCAAACATTTTCAACTGTAGCATTAATATTGAAAACTGATGCAACAACTACAACTATGTCTGACACCACAACAACTTTTGCTGCAACAACATCAACAACTAGTAACCCTGCAACATCAACAACAAGTAACCCTCCAATATCCTCAACTAGAACAGCAACAACAAAAACTGATGCAACAACCAAAACAATGTCTGACACCGCAAAAACTATTGGCGCAACATCAACTTTGGCAAGCACAAGTAATCCTGCAACATCCTCAACTGTAGCACCAATATCGACAACTGATGATGGAACCACAACTATATCTGATACCACAACAACTATTGGTGCAACAACAACAACTTTAGAAACCACAAGTAACCATGCAACATCCTCAACTGTGGCACCAACTTTGAAAACTGATGCAGGAACTACAACTATGTCTGACACCAGAACAAATGTTGGTGAAACAACAACAACATTGGCTACGACAAGCACCCCTCAAACATCTTTGACTGTAGCATCAATGTCGACAACTGATGCAGGAACCACAACTATGTCTGATACAACAGCAACTGTTGGTGCAACAACAACAACATTGGATACCACAAGCACCCCTCAAACTTCTTCAACTTTAGCATCAACGTCAATAACTGATGCAACAATCACAACTATGTCTGACACCACAACAACTACTGGTGCAACAACAACAAATTTAGCAACCACAAGTAATCAACCAACATCCTCAACTTCAGCACCAACATCGACAACTGATGCAGCAACCACAAATATCTTTGACACCAATAAAACTATTGGTGCAACAACAACAACAACAACTTTGGCATCCACAAGTAACCCTGCAACATCCTCAATTGTAGAACCGACGTCGACAACTGATAAAAGAACCACAACTATGTCTGACACCATAACGACTGTTGGTGAAACAACAACAACATTGGCTACAACAAGCAGACCTCAAACATCTTCAACTTTATCACCAACTTTGACAACTGATGCAGGAACCACGTATATGTCTGACACCACAACAACTGTTGGTGCAACAATAACAACAACTTTGGCATCCACAAGTAACCCTCCAACATCCTCAATTGTAGCACCAAAGTTGACAACTGATGCAGCAACAACAAATATGTCTGACACAACAACTACTGTTGGTGCAACAACAACAACAATTTTGGCTATTACAAACAACCCTCAAACATTCCCAACTGTAGCTTTAATGTTGAAAACTGATGCAACAACTACAACTATGTCTGACACCACAACAACTATTGCTACAACAACATCAACAACTAGTAACCCTGCAACATCAAAAACAAGTAACCTTCCAATATCCTCAACTGTAACAGCAACAACAACAACTGATGCAGCAACCAAAACAATGTCTGACACCGCAAAATCTATTGGTGCAACATCAACTTTTGCAACCACAAGTAACCCTGCAACATCCTCAACTGTAGCACCAATGTCGACAACTGATGCAGGAACCACAACTATGTCTGACACCACAACAGATATTGGTGCAACAACAACAACTTTAGAAACTACAAGTAACCAAGCAACATCCTCAACTGTGGAATCAACTTTGAAAACTGATGTAGGAACCACAAATATGTCTGACACCAGAACAAATGTTGGTGAAACAACAACAACATTGGCTACGACAAGCACCCCTCAAACATCTTTGACTGTAGCATCAACGTCGATAACTAATGCAGGAACCACAACTATGTCTGATAAAACAGCAACTATTGGTGCAACAACAACAAAATTGGATACCACAAGCACCCCTCAAACATCTTCAACTTTAGCATCAACGTCAATAACTGATGCAGCAATCACAACTATGTCTGACACCACAACAACTATTGGTGCAACAACAACAAGTTTAGCAACCACAAGTAATCAACCAACATCCTCAACTTCAGCACCAACATCGACAACTGATGCAGCAACCACAACTATCTCTGACACCACTGAAACTATTGGTGCAACAACATCCACTCTGGATACCACAAGTAACCCTGCAACATCCTCAATTGTAGAACCAATGTTGAAAACTGATGTAGGAACCACAACTATGTCTGACACCACAACAACTGTTGGTGCAACAACAACAACAACTTTGGCATCCACAAGTAACCCTCCAACATCCTCAACTGTAGCACCAACGTCGACAACTGATGCAGGAACCACAACTATGTCTGAAACCACAACAACTGTTGGTGCAACAACAACAACTTTGGCAACCACAGGTAACCAACCAAAATCCTCATCTGTAGCACAAACGTCAACAACTGATGCAGGAACAACAACTATGTCTGACAACACAACAACTGTTGGTGCAACAACAACAACTTTGGCTACCACAAACACCTCTCAAACATCTTCAACTGTAGCACCAACTTCGACAAAGGACACAGCAACCACAACTATGTCTGACACCACAACAACTGTTGGTGCAAAAACAAACACAACTTTGGCTATCACAAGCACCTCTATTTCTTTCTCAACTGAATCATCAATGTCTACATCTGATTCAGCAATCACAACTATTTCTGATATGACAACAACCATTGATGCAACAACATCAAATTTTGTACGCACTACCACCCTTCCAACATCACAAACTATAGCATCGACGAAAGCATCAACCACTACAATTCATACAGCAACCTCAACTATGCCTGAAATCACAACAACTAATATGGGAGAGATAACAACAACCTCAGCTTCCAGAAGCGCAATGGCTTCCACAACCACAACAAACCCTAAAACATTTTCAACTAAAGAAACAACCACTACAACTCATCCAAAAACAACAACTATGTATGAAGGTAAAAGCACAACTATAGCTCCCACAGCTACCACTACAAAATTGGTGAAGGTCTCAACAACAGAACCAAACACTACAATTCATTCAACGACCTCAACTATGGCTGACACAAGAACAACTATTAGTGAGAAAACAACAGCAACATTGGTTCCCACAAACACAATGACCCATCCAACATTCGCGACTAACACAGCAACCACTATAACTGATGCAACAATCTCACCTGTGCCTGAAACAAAACAAATAACAACTAAAACCATGTCTACGTCATCAGCAACTGCCAATGTTACATCAATAAAGCCAATCACTCAAACCGCCATATCAGGAACTATACCATCAAATGTCACTCAGGCAGCAATAACCCGATTCATCACAACTTCAACTCTAACAGTGACAGACAAGACATCTCTGAAACCTGGACAAACACCAAATGTGTAAGGGCAATGAACAAATTTTTTTGTGTGTAAAAGGTAACTATTTGATTAATTCTCTTACTCACCCACCATTGTTCTTATTTACCTTCTTTTTCAGGATTGGGAGGGTGATTATTTACATTCGACTCATATTTATCACACTGGGCCCTATACCAAGTGAGGGTAAAATAATAAAGTTAGCTAACTCTCTCCTGGACTCACGTCTCAGAATCAAACGAGATCTAAGTAACCCTGTGAGCTTTGTGAATGTTACTTATACAAGTGAGTTTTCTTTCTTTTTTCTTCAGTCGCCAGTAAACAAATTTCCATATTACAGTAAAAAGATGTGTGCATACAGTATCAGCTAATTTGTATTATATGATTTTTCTTTTTTAAGAAATTTCTAATACTGCATATGCCCTGAATTTTGGATTTCAAATCAACAATGTTTCCATGTCAGAGAAACTTGAACTCAGGAATAGCACATATCAGTTAATTCAGGACCCTATAAATAAACTGGTGAGTTTGATTTGTATTTAACATACGCTTATTTTTATTCAGCTTTGATTGCAACATCTACCATCAACTTTAACTATTACCACACCAATTAATTTGTTTTCCTTGCTGACCTGTTTAGCTGAACCAGATCCTAACTGACCCCACAGCCTCTCCATTTCTGTTCAATGGCACCAGTTTCACGTAAGATTTAGACTAAGAAATCTGCTTTGAAATTGGTTTGATTGGATGTAAAATTAGAAGCACACTGTGATCTTTTTAAAGTGTTTACTTATGTCAATGTACATTTTAATTTCTCCCCAGGGGTAATTCCACCACTATTGAGGCTAATGTACAGTATGTTTTCTCAGAAAGTGACATCAAGACACCCAGTGCCTTTCTCAATGCACTTCTTGGGGTTAATATGGGTATGTGCTTCTGCATATAAATGTTAATATTAATATTTTCATAATTCTTTGAGCTGGAAGTGTTTTTTGTCTTATTTTAATTATTTTACACATTCTCATCTACAGAGACTATTACCACAACTACACCTGCTGCAACAAGAACCACTTTTTTCCCCACAGTGCTGAGCACTTCAATCATAAACAACAGCACTAGTGTAGCATGGATTGTAGCCATAATCGTCCCGTGTGCTATTGCCATCATACTTGTACCGTGCTGGATTTTCCTTTGTGTAAGTATCATAAAGGTTTAATAATAATTTACCTGAAACCTATAAAAGTTTCTATAAGGTCAATTCTATTTTAACAAGGCTCTCTCTCTGTCTTTAGTGTTTGCTCTGTGGAGGCTGCACAGCATTAAGACGACGTTGGCACAGAAGACAGTCATACAATGTACAATACACCACTCGAAACAGCCTTTTATAAAGAACTAGAGACTCGTTTCAATAAGAGAAATACATCAGGAAATATTACTAGCACGAATTACTTATATTACTAATCCAAATTGTGACAATGGTACTTTAAATTCAGATTTATCTTTCTATAATAAATATATCTTAGAGATTTTATTATCACAACATACTATTTATTATTTTCTTGTGCCTGTATTGCTGGACAGACAGGATCTCAAATTGTGATGAATGTAATTTATTTTCAGAATTTAAAAATATATATATTTAATGTTACAATATTTACATTCTACAATAATAATATTTGTTTTCCAACTTATTTATTTGATATTACACGTTTAATTTTGAGGGACAATATGGATAATGTTAAACCTATTCACTTTTTATGCACTTTATCTTTGTGTAACTCAAATAAAAAAAATCATACGCCATGTACACCAAAAAAAAAAAATGAAAGTGTAGCACTTCATTAAAATTACTTCTGTTCTAATCTGACAAGATTATTTGTATTTCAGTAAAGCATCACACAAATGCTAAATACACAAACAGCTGATTTCACCTGTTAAATCACAACCACTTGATACATTTATGACCAAATGACTACTGATGATCTAACAAGTGTAAACACCATGCATACTATGTCTAAATAAAAACCTTATACAATACACACATCACATTTATTTTGAATGCTTTAACTTTTCCAACAATACTGAACAAAAGTTAAAACTTGTTTTGTGCAGTTTTAAAATACTGGTTTTGGTATAAACCATCACTTCAAAGTTTCTTTAAGATGATGAAATATTACTTACCAGATCATTAGAATCATGTCGAGCCCATATGCATCACGAAGAGCTGAAGAACCCGAAGCGAGTTTGCCTGTTGAAATCACAGGAATTTCATCTATACAAATAAGGCAGAAAATATTTTTCTTCTATATAATGTATACATGCCACCTCACTTTCTTAGCATTGCCCTTTTCCTTTAAATACACAAAACAGTTGAAGACAAAGTGTTTTGTTAAAATCAGTTTATTGGCTACATATTTTATCAAAACATTATGAGCTGTACACTGTTCAGTTATGTGCAGAGACTGAGTGCAGGAGAGCATTTCTCTAGAAGGTCTACCTGGAGAAAACCATCTCAGCATTCCCATTCATCTCAGAGGCAGTTGCTCAGGTGTTCTTATTCTTGATAACTCTTTCTGAGCCAATCCCCTGAGCTGAACATGCCATTTGACTGATTACTCCAGAGGTGCAGGATAATAACATCATGGCAATGCTGACTGGCAGATGGCACCACAATGTTTCAGGATGAGAAGTAAAAAAAATAATCCCCACAATATTTTTTCTTTTCTTTTTTTCTTTTTAACACCTTTACATTCGTATGCATTCATTCAAATTCCATACAACCATAAGAACGCTGCATTAACTCTACACAGATTGAAAAAAAAACAAAAAACAAACAAACAAAAAAAAACAACCACCCAGAAAAAGAATGCTCCTCCTGTTTTAGCAAACGGTAATCTATTCAAAATTTACTATTATAATCGTAATGAATGTAAAATAAAACAAAAATATGCTAAAGACTATATAAATTCTACACAATTCTTCCACAATGATTAGTCATTCACTTTTTCATCTGTTAAATCGAGAAGTTAATTTACTTGCAAAATATCTTGCACAGTCCAACAGCAACTACCCTGAGCTGGAGACAGGGACAAATACATATAAAGGTAAAAAAAACATTTGGTTATCACCCAGGAGAATTTTCTATGAAGGTAAAATTGTGTCATAAAGAATCGCATGCCAGGGTAAGATTTGTGATTAACACAAAGTGGTCAAGCGTATAACTAGACGCGGCAGGCGCGAATTTGACGCGCTATTCGCGTCCGGTGTGAAAGCACAGTTAGAAATTAATTTCACACAAAATTTTTAGTTAGTTGGCTGTGGCGAGCAGGACGAGGGCGAGGGCGAGGGCGAGGGACGTGAGAGGACGGCGCGAGGCCGGTGGCGTGAGCATAGACAGTAAAAGAAATGGACACAGCGACCCCATAGACTTCAACGGACAAAAGTGAAGTCAAATATAAGCACTCACTTCCTGATTGCCAAGCGCACTGCACATGCTCAAACTGAGCTTGAAGACGTAGTTGTGACGTGAGCAACCTGACTGACAGTTGTACGTCTTCTAGTAGCTGTGCCAAGAGGAATCTGAATCATTCCCTTCTGAATCTTGCAGAGCCGGAGATCGTGACTATTAGCTGTACATGAGCTCGCAGCAGGATCAACTTTACAACTCTCTATGGGCTTCTCCCTTGACTTTATGCCTCCACGTCCCCCGATTGCGCGTGAGCTTCTACATCTGTCTTTACGGTAATTTCTCTTCTACGCAACAGAGAGTCGCGTGTTATGACGCAATCGTTAGCCTATTTTTACAAAAACTGCTTCTACGGGGCCACAACGTAAGATACAAGGTAATGGAGCATTTTATACATTGTCGTGTTTCTTTAGGAATAAATAATGGACAAATGGAGTCTTTAAACGTCTCAGATGTAAAGTTATTCGCTGTCAAAGTGACGCAAAAATGAATGGGAGTCAATGGAATGCTAACAGCAGGTGAAGGCTTGTTAGCCAATGGCGGCGCCCGGGGAGACTTCAGTTTCCGGCTGGTGGATTACCCCCTTGGGCGTGAGTGATAATGAACGTGAGACGCACCGGTCTTGCATCTAGGAGGAGCGGAAGCATAAAAGGAGGAGCGGCGAAAGGGCAGATCGAGAGAGGAACAGGCCTGATTTTATGTTGTGTTTTGTTTCTGTTGTGTGTGGCTGCTGGCTTATAACGTTACTTTTGTTTTGTATTTGTTTATTTTACTATTAAAATGTTTAAATGTTCACCGGTTCCCGCCTCCTTCTTCCCACAACAACGAACCCCGTTACATTGGCAAACTCATTACTCCTCGTTTGTATTTCTTTCTATATGGTGAATTATTGCATGATACCTGGATGATCAGTCATGCGGTGCGAAACTAGGATGGTTCACATCACAACACAAACGTCCGTGTGCTCGTCTGATTCAGAGATTTCGTCCAGGAGAAATTGCCATCGTTGAAATTCTCTGCAGCAGACGGACTCTATCAGTATCAAAGGCGGATATCGCGGGATTAACGCTCGTGCATGGTGTTGCTAATAAACTGTTAATAAAAAGTAATGTTGCTTTTATATGAAAATAAATATAATGAACAAGACACCCAAATTACTTATTTAACTCCATTTTAAATAAGCCTAAGTGTTTATCAATATTTTTTTCTTTAATACAGACATGTGTTTTTATAAAAAAATAAAACATAAAAATTGCATCACATAACCCATAGAGATCGCACTGTCAGAGAGTTTGGGCATATCCACACATAATTTATTAAATTCTGTGTGGATATTCCCAAAATTTTTATACACATAAAACTTGATATCAGAGTTTTAAAATCAAACATTTTAAAAGAGAACAATACATCAATGCTGTTTAAACTATAGACTGTAAAAACCAATGAGCATTAAGCTGTGTCATCAGCAAAGTTGTTTCCCATCATGCTTTTGATCAGCGCAGTCGGTGGAGAGCAACTGCGCGCGACTGCAGAATCCGACACGTGCGCCTTGCGGTCGCGAGAGTTTTTTGACATGCGGTCTGCCTTGCTCTGATGTCATGCCGACGTACTCGGACACATTTCTAACCGGCATAATTCTCGCGGTGATCGGTTCTGCGCAGATTTTGCTCATCTCAAACAAGCCCAACGCTTTCTGTATCTGCAAGTGAAGTCCCACCCACTGATCTGTAGGTTTGTAGCGTGAGTGGGCCCCACCCTGGATAAATGATGAGCTAGTGTTTGTAGTCTCAACCCTTACAAAGAAATGGGACTTCCTGCTTTTTATGACGCAAAATGGCGATTTTTACGTCATAAAAAGCAGGAAGTGGAACACTTAAATCCTTATTTCTCCCATCTCAGGGGAAAATAAGGGAATAAACCATGACCATTCAAAAATATGACTGGGTTTCTAAAGATACAAAGCTTAATGCAAATGGGTGAAGTGTCCCTTTAACATACATGTTAAAGGGACAATGTGTAGGAATTTCTCCCATCTAGCTGTGAAAATGTATTTTGCATTCAAACGAATTGTGCTCTCCAGCGCCTAGTTTTTTCAAATGCGCGTTGCATCTACGGTAGCCATTATGTACCAAAAAGCTATGACAGGGGCTGTGTCCCAATGTGAAGGCTGCGTCCTCCGAAGGCCGCATTTGAAGGCCGATTGCGTCATAGCGGCGCGACGAAGGCTGTCCCAATTCAAAGGCTGCATCCTCGAAGGCCGCATTTGAAGGCCGATTGCGTCACCGCGACGCGATAAAGGCTGTCCTAATTCAAAGGCTGCATCCTCGAAGGCCGTATTCGAAGGCTACCCTGATTCAAAAGCGACGCCAAATGCACCCTTCGTTTCCCCGTGAAAGGAAGGATACATAAATGGACACTCAGCGGCCTATCTACCCCATAAGTCATTGTGCGCCGGCGACGAAAGCATTTTTAGTGCAGCATTTGCTGTGTAGCCTAGCCTACAGTTCAAATTCAAATGTTGGTGTTCAACTTAGTGTTTTAAAAATACAACAACCGTTCATTTTTCGTTTTTAAATTATGGCTTATAAAAAGAAAAAACGAATGGACGCAAATTTACACAGACCGAAGACTATCAAACTTTTCTACAAAATCATTTGAAATATTTAATAATATAAGGTCCCTAGCCTACTTGAGAAACGAAAAATGAACGGTTGTTGTATTTTTAAAACGCGAAGTTGAACACCAAAATTTGAATTTGAACTGTAGGCTACACAAATAGGCTACTGTGCAAAAAAATTGTTTATGACTTTTTTCCCCTTTATTACACATTTAAAATATTCACAAATTAATATGGAAAAAAATGTTGATTTTACTGGTTTTCTAAGGCCAAATAAGAACCTGGAAATTACATTTCCCCCGCAGTGCTGAATGAGAAGAGTCTCAGGAACCATACAGAGAGATGATTCATTGGCTAATGATAATGAATGTGTCTGAAAAAATAACGAGCCATTTTAATTGTTCGTTTAAAAGTGAACATTTCAAACTTTATAGGCTATATTTTGTTTCAGTTCATTTATGAGACGCGCTCCAGTTCACGGAGATGATGAAAGCGCGCCTGATTATTTTATTTTACAAAAGCACAACGTTTTCTTGTTATGTGAGTTTGGACAAATAAAAGTAGTTGCGAATGATTTATTATTCTTTTCTGTATGAGCAGAAATGATTTTTAGGTTAGAGTATTTTAAGTTGTTTCCACTGTTGATAGTAAAATGTATGTGTTCGCGCTGGCGCCTCCGTGCCATGCAGTGCACGCTCCACACTCCCACACACACTTGGATATGCGTCAAAATCTTGTGTTTATTTGGGATTGTGTTTATTTGGGATAATATTAGCCCTGTATTATTATTGTCTAACCTGACTGACATTTCACGAATTGCTTTGTTCCTTTTTTGGATAAAAGCGCCTTCTAAATATGTAGCGTATGTAATAATAATAATACTTATTTGCGTTTATAACTATAAAAGAGTTCACTGGACA